TATACATGCCAGAAAGCAGTGTCATTTCGACTTCTGAAATGAGAAGCCCCCTGTTTGCCTTTGGGTTTTTTAGTCCATTGTAAATTCATAGTCTCTTTGATGTTTACATGGTTTCTCTTTTGAGAGGATTGTAGCACAGTATTTACCTTGCACTGTAAACAAACAGTCCAATACAATGTTTTTTTTTTTTTGTGAAAGTAATTAATACTTTTATTCAGCAATGATGCATTAAATTGATCAAAAGTGACAGTAAAGACATTTTTAACATTTAACATTACAAATGATTTTTATTCAAATAAATGCTGTTCTTTTGAACTTTGTATACATCAAAGATTCCTGAAGAAAATGTATCATTAAAAATATTAAGCAGCACAACTGTTTTCAACATTGATGCTGACAAAAACTGTTTCTTGAGCAGCAAACCAGCATATTAGAATGATTTCTGTGGGATCATGTGACACTGAATACTAATGGTGCTGAAAATTCAGCTTTGCCATCAAAGGAACAACTAAATTACAATTAAATAAATTACAATTATATTTAAAAATACAATAAAATAGAAAACAGTTGCTTTACATAGTAGTAATATTTCACAATATTTTATTTTAGATTAAATAAATGCAGCCTTGGTGGGCATACTTCTTTCAAAAACATTAAAAATACTTACCGATCCCAAAGGTTTTCTGTGTGTTTTTTTTTTTTTCATTGTTTCAAAAATAATAACGGCAATATTACAGTAATTTATTTAATATGTATTCTTTTATACATTATATTTTATTTATTTCTACTACTAACTGTTGTTTAGCTAATTATTAATGACATTTTGTATTATTTGCTTTCTTTATGTTTATACTGAGCAAACATCCTCGAGTGAAAATGCCAGAAACTCATTTCTGCTCTCGTGTCCTTTATGCTCAAACTCTTTTCACATCTCGTTGATGCAGCATCTAATTGATTATGCATTACAGTGCCAGCAGATAACCGTGTACAGCTACTGTATACAGAAATAGAACTAGTGACACAGATATGCCAGTTTCCTCTCTGTATCGGATAGAAATGCACAAACTCTGGAGTCCAAAGACAATACCTTTACTCAGCCACATTGTCAATGAGAGCATTATTGTGTGTGTGTGTGTGTGTGTGTGTGTGTGTGTGTGTGTGTTTGATTTTGTGTTTCTGTG